AAAAGGATATTCACGAAGCGAGTGCTTCTTTTGTAACCATCAGATTTTTATCGCGCAACACACAACATAAACCGAAATTTTGTAGGAAAAAAATGTTTACGTGCGCTGTTCGTGACCTGGTGCATGGAGATACTAGTTCTGTTCGTTTTACATTGCGGGTTCACGAAATATTAATTCACTAATATGAAACGCAATGAAGAATAAACTTTTGTTTTTATATTTCAGTTTCATTTATAAACAAGCTAATTAACGGATGAACGGTTATCTGAATAGGAAGTTTCAATTGTGTAGTAGAACTTGTATCCTACCCTTCAAAGAGGAATGCATGAATAAAATACTATGATTACCGCCTACACTTTGGAAGCAGATCTCTTACCTCCGTATTGTCTTACTATGATTCGACTTATGTGTTTGGCTATACATTAAAATGTAGTTGCAGGGACAAAAAAAATATTTTACAGAGGTAATTCGTAGCAGAGTTAGCACTTTATTAGTGTAAATATATTATAATGTATGTATATCGGAGATGCCACAATTGTTAACAATTATTATAACACCATCGTCAGACATCGTAGGGAAGAATAGGGTGATCAAGCTCAAAGAAATATTGAGTACACCAATCACGTTTGTTGTCTTAGAACAATTTAGATATCTCCTCTTGACGTTGCGAACGAAAACCAATGACAGTTCTTAGAATAGAGACACCGCTTTGCAAGAAGGCTGGTTGGTAAGTGTGATGGCGTCTATGCGCCTCCATCGGCTAGGCTCTGTGATAACACGAAGTTAGCGGAGTTTCGACGATACCGCAATCGTGCCGCTATCTCTCGGGAATTGAGCTGCGTTTAGCTACTAAACTAATAACCGTCTCCAACATGTATGTAATAAGATCGAACTGCTAATCTTACTTTGCTCATTAAAATTATATCCAAGAAAGAATTACCAGAAAAATGTTTTCCTAAGCCGTTTCCTTAATTACATTCAGAGAGACCTTGGATTAAAAATAAATACACTTTCGGAGAAGATAAATGTTGTCGCTTGAATAAGGGAATAAATGTTATGTACATATTTAAATGTATAGATCTTGTATTCGACCGTATTTTCATTAATTGTAAATCATGTATACTTTATATACAGTTATACATGTTTTAAGTAAGACTGACATTGTATGGGTTAGCTGAGTATATTGTGGGTAGCCACCATCGTAGGATTTAGGGCTGTGGCTTGGAGAACTGTCAATCTTACTGTAGCGTGAACGAGTTTAGGCGTATTCTATGCAAGAAATGTTTAAATAGTGTATTTATGTATTGACTCATTTGTCGATAGAGTTGAATTCTTATAAAAATAATGTCACGAATATTTTTAGAATTTTATGACTTAGGTTCTACGTCTGTCGAAAACAAAAAAGTAAAGTAACAATGAGCGAAATGTGAAAGGAAAAAAGCAGATTAATGTAATATTCATTAATAAAAACAGACCTAAGATAAAAATATTTTTTTTCATGAATTTTAATACGCATCTGTCATCCTTTTCGAAGGACCATGAGCGTCCGCCATGTATATTTATGCCCTCAAGAAGAAAGTGTACTTACACCTATAACGTGTGCACAGTGAATTTGTTGAAAAATCGTGTCGATGGTCCAAACGTAAGCTGGGTCACGAAGGAGCTGTTTGTTTAGGTCTGTTGGTAAACTTGTATACTGATTTTATTATTTTCTATTTCCTCTCAAAACAAAAGCTAAATCTTGGTTCTTGGTAAGGGATGTCGGATAATTTTGGGTTACTTGAAAGGTTATTATTATTATAAGAAAATTAGTATACGACAGAAATATAGCCGTGGCCAAAGCAATACAAAAAAATGCAAAAAAAGCCTTTTTATAATAAGCACATAGGAGACATTTGCATATTTGACAAGGAATATGTTTATGTTTTTAAATAAAGCCGCAGTAATTTCAATACCACATAAGAGGTTTTTTTTATTGCCCTTGTAGGCAGACGAGCATACGGCCCACCTGATGGTGAGTTTTTACCGTCGCCCATGGACTTCAGCAATGCTAGGGGCAGAGCCAAGCCCCTGCCTACCGCTCTATGTATTAAATTACATAGAGTATTTAGACTATTCGCATGCTCTAACTTTTCAACAAATGTAACTAAACTTTCTAGTGAACGTGGCTGGTTGAGGCCCGAGTGGTTAACTTTAGGAGTTAGTTTTTATTTTTGTCCCCGAAACGTTGAGCATATGACTTTATTTTACGTAAAGCATGCGTATAATCGGCGTATTAAAATTTAAAATTTGAATTTGAATTTGTTTCATTTTTCATATTAGTTTTAGTCGAAATCTGAATTACATAGTACAAAGGCTGTCCCACCCTTAAAGTTCGAACACATGATTGCTTCAAGACATAAATAGGAAGGATGGTGATGACCTACCGGACTTAGATACTCCTGCTATTGGTCTTCTAATAATAATTATATACTCCCTGCCCCCATAAAATTTTAGTTTTGTTTCTAAACGTCTGTGTTGCCATATTCATTTATTTTATTAAAGGATAGAGTAACTACAGCATAAACAGGGGAAATCATATGACCTTGTTTACGAGCGTAATAAAACAACAACACAATCATTATAAATAATTTAAGGGTTTAATTTGATAGTCAAATTATTGTTTTTCTAGTTTTCCACCTGCGGTCCCCTTTAAAATTTGTCGAGCGCATTACGCATACTATACATTTTTTTGTATAGCACCGTCATATTTCAGCCATTCTGCCCAAAATATTTACAAATTATAAAACCAAATCTTCCTCGCTTATAATTTTTTTTATTGGTAAAAACCGTATGAAAACCTGTAGTATGAAATAAGCAGAGAATCAGATAGAAGAGGCACACTGCCACTTTGTTTTATATTATTTAAGGATAACAACAAATACTATACGATTAATAGTAATAATACGAAACTTCCTTGCGAAATCGAATCAGGTATGAGGAGATTCGGAGAAGAACCAAGATAACTAGCATAGCTAAAAGGATTACAAGATTGAAGTGGCACTGGGTAGAGCACATCGCTCGTATAACAGATGGCTTCCGAAAAATTCTCGAATAGCGACCGCGAACCGGAAAGCGAAGCGTACGTTGGCATCCCACGAGGTGGAACGCCGACCTGCTAAAAGTTGCGGGAATCTGCTGTGTATGCAACTTGTAGAGGGGCGAGCACGAATGACTATCGAAAAAGTATTCGTATCGCTATCCAGAAAAAATATTCTTATACATTTTTTCTTTTTTTTTTCCTCACTTAAGCTGATAGCCTTGAGAGGCTATTTCAGCGTAACCTTAACTAGTAGGTGAGCTCACGGGGCTCAAACTTGACGACGTTGCTAACACGAACCCTAGCAAGAGTCGTGCTTCGCAGAATCTGCCACCGTAAGTGAGACTGCTACTTATCTATACCTCTATAAGCGACAGTCGAGCTTTATTTATTTATATTATTTAGGAGGAACAAATTACAAAACAAATAATTACAAATTTAACATCTGCTATTTTATGATTCATTCTTAACTTTCGTGGAACTTCTTAACATTGTTTTTGTGTTGTTTTCTCGTCAATATTGAACCTATTCTATATCGTGGAACTAAATAACGTTGTTATTTTATCGCATTCTTTTCGAATGGACACGTGTGCCTGTGTGCCGTCCTGTTTGTTGGACCTACTCAGTTTATCGTTAATAAATTGCGAAGTAAAGTTCTGTTCTGCATAATGTCAAAACGGAAAATTAAAGTACTGTCATTATTAAGTGATAAACTTAAAATTGTGAATGCGTTGGAATCCGGAAAATCCCGAAATGAAATCAGAGGGTGCATTAGCGAGAAATTCGGGTTAGTGTGAAACCTCTTTAAGCAAGAATGAGATTGTGCTCCCTTGAACTCTCGCTTATCCAGGTTTGACTGTATACGATAAACAGCGCCCCTACCGTCCGTAAAAAGAATTAATTTCAGGAGCACGAATGAATTTACCTCCTGTCGTTTCGAAATCAAATCGTCACATTCTCGAAATTCGAAACTTGTACTCATAATCGAGAGCACGAAAAATGTTTTGACGAACGTTAACGTAAAGGCTTGACTACCATCTAATGTAATAATCCGTTTTCGTATCGAAGTGTCGATACATTTACATTATGAATTCGATATATTTTCGTGTTTGACGTACCTACTAGTTCGATTTTTGTGGCCAGCTTTGGAGGAAGCCTATCTCTCGCGTGTCCACGTCCGTGGGCTGAAGAATAATAATAAAGAATTAATTACATTACATTATATTGGCTTTGTTTTTAATTTTCCAGTCTGGGCTATAATCTTCGTTAATAGCGATCTCTTTTCAACAACCTTTGTAGTAAGTACGCATAGGAGAAAGGTAACGCACAATGACTACTTGTAGTTTATTTTTTTATTTTTTTATTTCTTAGATGGGTGGACGAGCTCACAGCCCACCTGGTGTTAAGTGGTTACTGGAGCCCATAGACATCTACAACGTAAATGCGTCATCCACATTGAGATATAAGTTCTAAGGTCTCAAGTATAGTTACAACGGCTGCCCCGCCCTGCAAACCGTAACGCATTACTGCTTCACGGCAGAAATAGGCAGGTTGGTGGTACCCACTCGTGCGGACTCACAAGAGGTCCTACCAGCAATAATTACGCAAATTATAATTTTGCGGGTTTCACTTTTATTACACGATGTTATTCCTTCACCGTGGAAGTCAATCGTGAACATTTGTTGAGTACGTAATTCATTAGAAAAATTGGTACCCGCCTGGGATTCGAACACAGGTGCATCGCTCAACACGAATGCACCGGAAGTCATCTTTTAGGCCACGACGACTTCAATGTTATTCCTTCACCGTGGAAGTCAATCGTGGACATAATTTGTTGAGGATGTATTTCATTAGGAAAGTACATTATTGTTTGTTTTGTTTCAGATCGAGGGCGGGTGCGCGTGGTGCGCGTCGTAAGGGGATGCCCGTGCGCAAGGGGCTTCTCGCGCCCCAGAACACCTTCCTCGATACCATCGCAACTCGTTTCGATGGCACTCGTAAGTATTCCTTTATAGTCCTCATTTTCTTCCCACCTCAATTCCACTTGAACGACATCCATATCGTATACTATTTTCTTATCGTGAACCACGTTTTTGAAGGTCACAAATTGTGTACGTGTATTAATGGAATTTCTTACGTTGATATAGAAAAATTTGTAATTGTCCCGTGATTAAATTACGACATAGTCTCGTGACTACGATACTCGGAGCGTCGTCATGATAATCGCCTTATCGTTGCCACCGCTGACTACTCCCCGAATCCTGATCACGCACGAGCCAGTCACCGTCGACGCTTTAGACACGTCCTTACGGATCCATCAGATCCAATAACCTTTGCATTAGACACCTTTAGCTCTAACACTAGGAGTAGGGACCCCGGTAACCGTACTCGTCGAACTCGGCAAAGAGTTCGACATGCAGCCTAACCTAAACATCAGCCCGCTGAGTTTCTGGCCGGATCTTCTCAGTAGGTCGCGATTCCGATCCGGCAGTAGATTCATTTGCGAAGCAGCTAATCTTGAGTTGCTAGGTCTCCTTTGGAGGCGCTCGGGTAGCTGTTAGCAAATCCCACCCCTCCTGGCTGAGCCCTTGCTCGCCCACCTGTCCTGGTAAAACTGAAAAGGTTTCCGGGCCACCAGTAATCTCTCAAACATAAAAAAAAACTTGGAGCGTCTTATCTATTAAGCCATAAATGCTTTAATTTTAAGTAATTGTACAATAAATTCAAGGATAATCTATGTCCATGTCTCGAGTTGTAGATCCTAGCAAATGATTACAATGCAAGATATATGTTCGCTTACGCGGAATTGCTTATGATAAATCGCTGAGTTCAACCACGGCGCGTTTCAAGGCAAATATTTATGATGTAAAATCTCGCACTGGCGTGAGCTCCTCCTCTTGTATAGAATCTTAGGCGGATTTTCCTGACTTAAAAATGTCTTCCTTCAAACGTGATCTGAAACCAATTCTCAGTGACTTGCTGTAATCCTACCTACTCCCATCGAAAGGTCCGTAAGCTCGTACGCATTGGATAAGAAAAAAGAAATCGTCTAACTTCATCAATAAGTAAGTAACATTAGCGAATACTGCTTGCTAATACGAACAAATGATAGGAAAGTACGTACGATAAGTAAGTAATATTACTTATTTAAGATCACCAGACCAGAAAATAATCAACAAACGCCTCGTTCTAAAAATTTGCTAAATTGAATCTTAGCTTAAGCTCATTCGGTTATTTTTCACTTTACACGAACGAGTACAAGCGTTTTCTTTTGAATTTTGTCCTATTTAAAAAAAAAAACCATCTTCCTACGTCTACTTGAATTCGCGTCGGTTCTTTCATTAGACTCATTTTATGTGCAAATAGAGTAATCGGATTTTGCGTTCAGTACTCAGATAGTATTATAGTATCAGTTATCAGTATCAGATAGTACTTAGGACTTCGTTAATGCGCGCTAAGTAGGCACAACTAGTGTGAAATAAAAAGCACATTACAAATAAAACTGAAATATATAAACCTTATAATAAAATAATAAGCGTTTCAAATTTATATAATCAAATACTAAAAAGTTCACAACGAAATTGTATTGTATTTTTAAAATACAGCAAAATCATTGTTTACGAAGCCGTGTAAAGTGAAAGAGTTCTCCAAAATAATTCTCGTTAGGTTTATTTAAAGCTTTTCATATTTCGTATAAGCCTTATGATACCGTGTACATTGTACGCCAACGTAATTTAGAAGATTTTCTACTGGAAGACTTATTTTGCTTCTCGGTATTATGAACGTGAGCTTGGAGAAACCCAACAATATGAATTACAACGCGAGTAGAATGAGGTTTTCTTTCACAATAAAATAATATCAGAAGGTTTCTTAAAATTAAGTTAAATTAATGATTTTGGACCTTTTTGGATGTGATTGAAGAAAACATGTTAAGGTTTAATCTCAAATTTATTAATTTCACAATTAATGCCGACTCGAATCTTACATTTTTTATTATCTCGAATACATTTGCTACACCATGAAAATCGAAAGATCTAGAACCTTCGCATAATGCATTATCATTTATTTTACATAATAAACTTCCAACAAAACATTGTATTTTTTTATAAACATATAATCCTAGTATTACAGCTTCGTTATCGACTCACGCCGATTAAATAATTAATAAGTTAACGGTCTCATAAAGCTTGCAACACCGGCGAAGGCATTAAATTAATTTCTTTCATAGATTAAAAGAGCGTGAATTCCTCTATTACACGAGGCGATCGTTATTGATAATCCGTCTAAATAAACGAGAAAGCATTTTTACGAAGAAGGTATAAAAACTCATAAAAGCGAAAGCATTGAAGCGAGATGCCGCGGACGCTATTCAAAGTGTAATCATAACCTTTTTCTGTGAACCTTTACGGATCTGTTGAAAGCAAAGGATTAATGTTGAAAAAACAGGACGCGTTAGCGCAAGTGGATTACAGATTCATAAACAGGGAAAGCTCGTCTTTTCCTCAATTTTATCAAAAAAGAAATGGAAACAGAATTCACCGTTTAAAAAGCATAATATATTTTTCTTCTTCATTTATTTGGACGTTTGGCGTTGACCTAGACACCCTACCTAGGCTTACAGACCTAGCAGCAACCCATCTTAAGGATTCACCTAAGAATGGGCAATAGCGTTCTTTGAGTATTGAACTATACCAGTATATTGCAGTCGCCAACCGTGAGTGGTGGCATTCATTATGTTTTGGCTATGGAAGGGCCTTGAACTTTAAAGGTTTAAAAACGAATTAGGAATATTGAAAATAGATTTACCCTTTTATTACAATGTTATGGATTGTTCAAATATAAATAGATACATGAATTACATGGTCTAAAAGTAGGTAAAGCGAGTAAACATATAACGGATAGTTTTTTTTCAATACCTTAACTCTGACTTTTGCGAAAACAAAGTATTTTTTTTTTAAATTTAACCGTACTTCTTATTCAATAGTTTAATTTTGGGTCTTCTTAACAGCATACTATTACGTAGCTTTAATGATTACAAGCATTAACGTGACGTGCGTTTCCTTCTTGAAGTAGTTTGATTGCACATAATATTCAGTGGCCAATTGGCGCCAGTTTCGATTAACTGTCGGTTATTTCTGTTATATTTCTGTACTGCATACCGGCGCATTGACCGAACCGACTCAGTAAAATTAGCCGAGATTCGCGAACGTACACTAAGCCGCAGTCGTGGCCGCATTCGTTTAAATCTAATTATATCTTCAACAGATAATAATAATGTCCTCAATAAAAATAAATCAATTAAATTATCTATCTATATATATATAAATGAATTGCTGTTCATTAGTCTCCCTAAAACTCGAGAATAGCTGGACCGATTTGGCTAATTTTGGTCTTGAATTATTCGTGGAAGTTCAGAGAAGGTTTAAAAGGTAGATAAATATGAAAATGCTCGAAATTAAATAAAAATAACAATTTTGTTTTCTTTTGATGTGTCCCCCGTCAGACGGATTCTTTTTGTTTGTTTTAAGTTTATTTTATACAAAAGTTTAGGTATTTTATTTATCGATTGAAGCACTACGAAGTCTGCCGGGTCAGCTAGTACTGAATAAATATTGTTGAAACGTACGCAAGTAGAGGTAATTGAAAGTTAAATGTCTTTTGTGAAATCAATATCTGATCTTACGAAGTCGGCTTTGTCGTAATTGTTGACCTCTATTATGCGAAGATTACAGCCTATCAAGGTATTAATCGCGAAGTTACGATTTGATCTTCACATAATTGGAAGAACAGAGAAGGATATTCTCAAAAGCCCTTTAAATCTTTGAAATCAAGAAAGTACTTCCGTCAAAATTAAATTTAATTATCGAGTTATTCAATGGCGTAATCCGTAAAACGTCAATGTCAAGTCAGTTATTAGCTACTTTGAGAACTTTATCTCGTTATAAGAAGCAAGTTAAGTTAGGTTGAATGTCAAATTATATAAGGAATTGTCCACAAAAGAACAATGTGCTGTTGTAACCTTGTTATTAAATCTCGTTTTGACTTTCGTTTCCGTTACAGAGATATCGTCGTGTTAAAAATAACGTTGAAGTCCATTTGTGATGCTAAATCGATGCAAAGGTACTCAATGATCTCGAGTACCGAATATCTAAATTGGTGCTGCTGTTTGAATGCGCTCACAAAACAGATAATTCCAAAAGTCGTCGTGGCCTAACGGATAAGACGTCCGGTGCATTCGTGTTGAGCGATGCACCGATGTTCGAATCTCAGGCGGGTACCAATTTTTCTAATGAAATACGTACTCAACAAATGTTCACGATTGATTTCGACGGTGAAGGAATAACATCGTGTAATAAAATTATAATTTGCGTAATTACTGGTGGTAGGACCTCTTGTGAGTCCGCGCGGGTGGGTACCACCACCCTGTCTATTTCTGCCGTGAAGCAGTAATGCGTTTCGGTTTGAAGGGTGGGGCAGCCGGTACGTGAGACCTTAGAACTTATATCTCAAGGTGGGTGGCGCATTTACGTTGTGGATGTCTATGGGTTCCAGTAACCACTTCACACCAGGTGGGCTGTGGTGAGCTCGTCCACCCATCTAAGCAATAAATAAAAAATATCCGTGAAGCCCCAAATCTCATCAACGTACTGTAGAAAATTTTGCTGATGCCGTAAAAATATATGAAACAAGAATACCACCGTTAAGGCTTCAATGAACTACTATTTAAATTAGAATAGTCGATAAACATCAGTCAATATTTTATGAACAATACTTCGATTTGTTGCTACGATAAAAAAGGTCTGTATCAAGTGAACCCCATCAACCGAAGTGTAAACGCGGTTTATATTCAGCTCGTGTGAATTGGAAATGAAAAAATCTCATACTCGGGTTTTCGAGGACGACCGCTAAGAAATTGCTATCGTCGACGGAAAATGCTGTTCATATGACTTGACGTACTTTGTCCGACACCAGCGGAATGTTTCTTTATGCCTCACAC